CTCGAACTCCTGAGCTCAAACAATCCGCCCGCCTTGGCCTCCCAGAGAGCTAGGATTACAGGCGTGAGCCACCGCGCCCGGCCGAGAGTTTTTTATATATTGGCAATAATAGCCCTTTGATATCAATTACAAATATTTTTTCCCAGTGCTTCATTCTCTTTTGACTTTGCTTATTGTGTTTGGAGCTATTCATATGTTTATCAGTTTTCCTTTTATAGTGTCTAGGTTCTGAACAATAATTAGAAACATTCTCCAATCCAGATTATAAAGAATTTCTCCCATGGTTTCTTCTAGAACTTCTTTGGTTTTATTTTTCCTATTTAAATCTTTGTTCCATTTGGAATGATTTTCATGTATACAGTATGAGGTGCGGATCCAACTCTGTTCTTCCCAGACGGCTGTCCAGTTGTCCCCATGATGCCTGTGAGGCAGTTTGTCTTTGCCTCACCAGTGTAAGGTGTCCCCTTTCCTTGTACCAAAGCTTAGAATAGGTTTTATTCTCTGGTAGCTGTGCCAGTCCTGCCACTACCCACATTGCTCTCCTCTTTCTGAGCTTCTCTGGAGAAAACAATTTTAAAAGTCTTATTTGTAATTGGCATAATAATTATTAATATAAATATTTATGGGGACAGTGTGATTTTTAATACATGTGTACATGGCATAATGATCCAACGAGGGTAGTTAGCACATCTATCACTTTAAACATTTATCATTTCTTTGGGGTGACAATGTTCAAAATCCTATCTTCTAGCTGTCTTGAAATATACAATACATTATTATTACCTATAATCACTCTGTTGTGTAATGGAACACCAGAGCTTAGTCTTCCTTTCCAGCTGTAACTTTGTACTGGTTGACTAACCTCTTCCCTTTCCCCCTCATGCATCCCCTTCCCAGCCTCTTATAACCCATGTTCTACTGTCTACTTAGATGAGATCAACTTTTTTAGATTCCACATATGAGTGAGATCCTGTGGTATTTGTCTTTCTATGCCTGGATTGTTTCACTTAACATAATGTCCCCTGGGTTCAGTCATGTTGCTGCAAATGACAAGATTTTATTCTGTTTCATGACCAAATAGTATTCCCTTGTGTGTATATACCACATTTTCTTCACCGATTTATCTGTAGATGGATACTTAAGTTGATCTATCTCTTGGCTATTGTGAATAGTACTGCAATCAATATGGGAGTGCAGATATCTCTTTGACATACTAATTTCATTTCCTTTGGCTGTAATACCCAATGGTGGGATTGCTGGATCATATGACAGTTCTGTTCTTAATTTTTTAGGGA